CTCACGTGCTCACCCAGCAGGGAGAGCTCAAGGAAACACATAAACCCAAAGATATGCCCACTCCTCCAAATAAAAACACAGCTAAAACCAGATTGAAATTGCTTTATTTATTTAAATAAATCATTTTATTTGCAGGAAGTGAAATTTGAGTTATTTTCCATATAAGCATCACTGCCTTTTACAGTTTATTTTTCTGCACAAAGCTACAGCTGAGGTGCTCAGACTAAACTCTCAACACCTGTTAAAATGACATACCTTGTGCATTACCATACTGCCAAGCATAACAGGTACCATCACACTGCAGATAACTGAGTAGAATTTAAACAGACAAATCAGGAAGATGTCTAAGGTTCTAAGTGTACATCTTGCTAGCACATCTCTTCCTGCCCTTTAGTCAACATAACCTACTTTTATTTGTTGTTCTAATAACATGCTAATCATTGCCAGGAACAAAAATACAAAGAAGACAAAGTGCCAGGAAAAGTCTAATAAAAAAAGTGCACTTACAGCAACACTGAATAATCTCTACAGTGTGTCTTCTAAAGTTCCTTCCATGGTATCACTATTAGATACACACATGCTTGTCTTTTAGGCTTGATCCTTGCTAGGGTTCACACTCACTGGTGCACCCACTCCAGTTACTGGCATTTACATCTTCTCATTACAGCATCTGCAGTTGCTGGTACCACAGGCCTTTCCACCCGGTGATCCCATTCAAGTCACTGTGCTCAAACACCCATCACACATACTCAGGAAAAGAGAAAGTAGACAGGATCTACAGAGCAGGTGAAGGGTATGGACAAATAAGCATACAAACAAACACCCTATTTACATGCAACTAACCTTTTTTTTTATCCCCTATCCCACTATTTTCCCCACACTTGCTCCTCCCCAAATGACACAGATCCCCCTCTTCTCCACCTTTGGTTTGTCCCCTAAATATACCATAGCAAGTCCTGTCCCATTCTGAAATGTTCTTTCCCTCCCTCAGTCCAAAATATGCTCAGCATTGGGTGGTTTCACTTGTGGGCAACATGGCTTACAATCTCCTGTGGCAACCCCAGACAGAATTTTGCTTTCCTACAGGTTCTCCTTGCCCATATTTTACCTCTGTATTCTTCCACTAGCTTGTGGAGATGGGCCTCTAAGGGGCTAGTACCTCCCAGGATGGGCCTCCAATACTATTCAGGTACGTCCAACTGCCATTGTCTCTCCCCGCTACTCTGAGTGCGCAGACAAGCTTCTATCACATAAGCTAAGACTTTGTTCACTTTGAATACTTCACTTGAAAGCTCCAGAAAGGTTTGAGATCAGAATGGTTTAGTAGTTTTGATACATTGATGCAAGTGCAATAAGCAATTAAGAGTATCAAACTTAGGCATCAGGCAGATGTGTGCTTTAACCTGTCTTCAAAGAACAGACTTCTCAGTGCTAATGCCTGGCTAATAGTTAAATGGAAATCATGTAAGGAGAAGGCAATAGCAGGCAAGTCACCTCACAGTGCTTTCACTGCTTTACCTACCCTGCAGCACAGTGGGCCACGTCTGCCACTCCTGTCAATGGACAGACCACCTGCTGTCAGATGTTGCTGAAAAGATTAAAACCTTCATTTTAGTCAACCAGTTTTACCAGAAAGCCCACTCTGCTGAGAGCATTCACTGGATGAATTCTAGTTTTCACTGTTACCACTAGGTTGCAGGATCCTGGCCAAATAATTTATCCTGTCCCAAACTCAGCATTCTCTGTGAAATAAATTTGTCCAGTTCACCCAGCTCTAGAAGCAAGGACAGCAATTCACTATCACTTAAGTCCTTGGTTAAGTCTTCAAGCATGCCCAGTACTGACCTAACTGATCTCCCAAGGTCAAAATTACGAGTTCTCGAACATATTAAATACATTACATATTGCGCTGTACTGGGGGAAAGTGTGGGGGGTGTTAGAAACAGTGGTATCAGCTCCTAAAAAGATTTAATTCCTCTACCAGCAACTGTATATAAGATGGCTTATCCTTATGAGAAACAGGCATATGAACAGCTGCCTTTAAAACTCACTCCATTAACCAATACATACAGAATACCAAACCAAAGGTTAATAATCTTGTTTTGTAATAAAAATACTTGCTTCATAATTGCTAACATTTTGTTCTTCAGTCATCCTACTCAACAGGTTTTCTTAAGAATGTAAAACTATCAGTTGTATGCCACTTTCAGCTTTAAGATGTTCAGATGACCTGATGCAATATCTCAGTCTTTTCATTTGCCATTTAAGTCTTAAGGACTTAAACCAATACAGACTTGTTCCTGAGAAATCTAAACTGCATGTCAGTCCCCACCGAGTGCCCTTCTTTCATTTTTGGTGGCTTAGGCTTGTCTTAGCCTAGAACAAGAAACAATTCAATAACAATTCAGTCACAAAACCAAAAATTTCAATGAACAAAAGGTTAATTTGCCACTGGGCAACTGTCAGTTGTTAAACTCCACTTTCTCAGCAACTGACCTGATGACTAGAGAAATGAGAGCTACACTTTTCCCTTGAAGCGGACTCAGAGAGTGTATAATAATAGTTAGAAGGAAGGATGCTTCACAGTATCACTGCTGGAGAACGCTGAAAGGGAAGGCCATTCCATAAAAACATTAGAAAGCTGTGCCAGTAATAGAGAGAATGAAGTTATCCACAATGTGTAACAGCCACATACAGGATGCATTACAACATAAAAGCTTCCAAAATGCACACACAAGGAATAGAGATTACATTAGAGGCACATCCTGAAATAACTCTACAGTAAAAAGGGATTTTTTTCTTTTTCAGTACACAGAAGTAGTATAACATCTATACACAGCATCAGAATACATTGTGAGGGCTTTATCCTCTAAGATTAAAACATGACTTTTTGAAGTCTGTAATATGAATACAGAGCAGTAACTGACAAGAAAATAAACAAAACTTCATTCTAAGTTCAAACAATTTACTTAACCATACTTGAGTGAATTGTCTTTTGATAACTGGCATGACAGTATGCAATACCACCAGATTCAGAGAACACAAAGGAGGAAATCTTAAATCGATTTTAGAAAAACATTTTCTAGTTCTTTACACAGGCAACACTTTCTTCCTTCTCCATTTATTTCCACCTCTACTGCAGAAATACCAGACCAAGAGTCACATTACTCTAGGTCATCAATGTTATAAATATGGTACTGTAGGAAAGTGTTATTGTCTGAGCAGTTGCTTCTACTGATTAGGCTTTTATCGCTATCTCGGTAGTGGTAGATGAGCAATGTTAGCACTGCGGTACACAGTAATATTGCTAATCAAGAGAACAAAACACACTTTACAGCGTATTCATCAGGGAGGCATCTTGCAAACAAATTGTGCTGCAACAGAAGCCTTCAGGGGCTTCTGCAGAAACAATCAGGAAAAAAAAAAGGATACCCTTAGTCTCTCATACTTCTTGACTCCCAACACCTTCCAGATTCCTAGATAATAGAAAAAGTTCTCTTCATGCAGGAACAGCATCTTTCAGTGAGTATCCTAACAACTAACCTTTGGAACTGGGGCTAGGAATTCTTGAGTTTAATTTAAGCTTACACCTAAACTGATCAACACTGACAAGTGATTAATTCTTCAAACATTTTAATTACTTGAGGCATGTAATTAAAGTCCCAGTCCACAACATGGTATGCTCTAATAAACAACTGAGGTTTTTACATCACTTTTTAAAAGTTCCACTCTCTCCCTGCTTCTCTTCCACACCAAACTGCAGCTCTTCACTTGCCTGTAACTTTTCCATGACAATTGTTTTTATTTTATCAGAACTGGAAAAGTGCATGACCCACAGCCACATTAGGCCACTAATGCATGGATACAGTTCAAGGACAACATGAAAGGCTGCATGTACCTACAACTAATCAACAAAAATACTCAAGAGTATTAAGACCTCTACAAGAAAAGCCTTTGCTCAACGGACAACCTGTTTCTGTCTAGCTTGCCTTTCTATTGAAAGCATGGCTTGCTGATCACCAGCCGTTTCGGAAGAATTTGTTTCATCAGCCTTTCTCTAGGATGCTTTTTTAATTAGAAAGCTAAGCTAATAATTTTCCCCTCTTCTTATTTCAAGGAGCTAAACATAGCAAGAACAGTACTTTATTCAGTTTTCCTTTCTTACATCAGTCTCCTTACCCAAAGAAATAAGGAATGGCTCTGCTACGAGAAGCATATCCTGAAGCTACTCTGCATATAAACAGAGTAAGAAGGCTGGAATTTATGTTTGACTCAATCTTATGAGTTTCAACATTTCATTCCCTACAAGCCACCCAATTTTAGGACTTTTAAGAATCACAGGTATACTCAAGATTGCAAAGACAATGCAGACCACTTAAGAGCTGAAGTCAGATGGCAGCCCTGGACAGGAAGACTCCCACATAAGGGCTAAGATTTTCCTCCAGCCTGAAGGAAATAATAAGCCTTCCTACAAAAGAACAAACTAATAGCACAGCCTGCTAAAAGAATTTCTGGTAGGAGGTCCCAAAATGCATTCAGAAAAGGACAGGAGAAAACTACAAATGTGCTTATAAAAGGCTCTTAGTATGAAACCCAGGAAAGAAACAGGTTTCTCAGAAGTACAGACACAGAGGCAGGAAAACCCAAGTGGGGATTCAACCAGACACAAGTCAGAAATTTGCTGTTTTGTTAAGCCATTTGCTTTTCCTGCAAGAGACATGGGAGACAGTACTAAAAAAACCCACACAAAACCAAACCAAACACTTAATTTTATTTGTCAGAAGGAATTACTTCAGAAGCACAAGAACTTGTGTAGCATTCAAATATAGAAGATAAGAAGGGCTACTCAGAGGAGGAATACTGCGACACGGAATGTTGATGCATCTCTTTTGCTCCTCTGAACGTCTATATCGTTGTATCTAAAGCATGCAATTTGTTTTCACAAAAATAAGTTTTTATACATATAGGTGTGTATTGATATACATACACCCACAGTACATGGTTATATCTTTATTTGCCCACAAAGAGACAGCATAAAACAAATTGTCAAGTTTATTTCATGGGATGCTTCGGAACAGAAAATATTAAGTTCTGTAACTTTTTCCAAGTATAGCAATATTAGCATATGCACATCTGCTTTGTGGGTCTCATTAAGGATACAGCATGCACAACTTAGAAATTTAACTAGCAGGCTCTATTTCAGTCCACCAAGAGATGCAAGGAGTTGGCGGATTGCAGACTGACAAAAGTTGCTTTTGTGCTGCTTCTGTTGAAGGATTAGAACCATGAAAAAGGCGAGCTTGATTTCATAATATTTCTTGCATCTAATAATGTCCACTACTTAAATACACCCCACTACCACATTCTGAAGCAAACCATTGTAGATTTAAGCCAAAACTGATGACCAACTTTTTTAGAAAAAGAAAACATTAAAGTCTTTTTAATTTTGTTGTAACACATTTCATAATATTAATGTGTATTTATTAAGGCCAGGCTATAGTGTAAAATGCATAAAAAACCCAAACAAAACAAACCCACAAAACAAATCACAAATCTTGATGGCAAGGACTTTAACTGTCTTACCCAAAACAGAAACATAACAGGCTCATAAAACAGTAACTATCAGCGTTTTTAGACATGGTATTACTTGAAGAGCAATATAATGCCTGTGCCTTAAACTACTGTTTTGAAAGCTCACTTTTACAGAAGTGGAAAACAGACAGCCAGATATACACACACTGTAATGGCTTGAGAATCGCATTATTTTAAAGGAAAATAAAGACAGTACTGCAATCCCACTTAGATGCAATACAAAGTAGGAATTTCATTTTTATGGAACTTTCATGGATGTACTTTGCATCCATCTTAATCCATGTGCAAAAAAGTGAATTTGGATCATTTATGTTAAAAGTTTTTTTGACACATTCATGTATTTTTCAAGATAATAATGTACTCCCACTCCAGTTACACTCAAACTTATAAAAGAGCATCTTATATACTTGTTAGGAAAATAAGTAAGAGACAAAATTAATACTAGTATATAAAGCAAATCCCAACACTGAAAGTAAATTGCAGAGTTGAGGCATGAAAGAAAGAATGCTTGAGCTTTTTACTTAAAAAAGGATTATTCCTCTCAGAAACAGCCTTTATTTGTTTGCCAGGCAAGCTTGCTCTTTCTCTTTTTTAGTGAGCTGGATAAAGGCTATCTCAGTATGTGTCTCCCATCACTAGCACAGACTGAAGTTTTGAAACAGAAATTTATCATCCTTAAAGAGAGGTATAGTCCCTGGAGGGACACCACACCCCACTATGCAAATGATAGTTGTCTGCTGAGAGCTACCTCCTCAAAGGGCTGGCCCTTGTTGTGAGCAGCAAGCTCCTACCTTCTTCTTCTGAAGTCTTCACATTTCTCCTCAGCTTTATCACTCTTCATTCCAAGCAACAAAAATGGAACAGTAATTAATAGTGAGGAAAGGGAGAGGGACCAGGTATAAGGTGTCTCAACTGATTAAGCATCCAAGGACTTGTGCTTCAAGCTTTATGTCTCAGGACAGAGGGGTACCCACACTAGTTTGGGTTGGTTTTGGGTTTTTTCCTTCTGTAACAGCTTTGATCTCCCTCACCTTTTACCCCTCACTATTTCTGTTCACTTCTTCCCTAGTCTCAAACAATGAATACTTCTGCATTTGAGAGGAAAAAGTACTTTTCACACATTCAGTTACATGTTCAAAGCATCAGCCACACTTGCTTCACAAGCTTTCCCCTTCCACTGAAGCTATAAACATTGTCATCTTTAAAGACTAGTAAAAGATAAGGAAAATTCATGTTCCCATGAGAGCTGCTAGCCTCATGTTCCCATGAGAGCTGCTAGCCACAAAGTTTAGAAATAAACTTTGAAAGCATGACAGTTCCATTGTTAAGACTTTCAAGCAAACAATTCCTGCTTTCCCGACAAGGCAAGCTCTCCTAAAATTGAGTCAGCTAAAGTATGGAGCAACAGGAGAATTTACAACCTCCAACTTGCACTACAGTTACCATCTTGGATGAAGACCTATATTCCATAGAGATAGGATTACTTGGATTTTTATCATGCTTAAAAACCACCTCCACCATTTATGTCTTAACTAAACCGAGACCATTACTCCTATGTATCATAAACCAAACAAAACCAATGTCTTTATGTGCAGTACTTCATAAATAATTTAAAATGGCAATATCATTTCCTTTACATCAGGACTTCAGACCATTGAGAACAAGAAATCTTTACCACTCTTATTAAATATTTACTATATGGCTGTTCTGGCATCATTACAAGAAAACACTGCATACAAACGTTATGCATTAGCAAAATACAAAAGCTACATTTAAAACATTTAAAAGATGCTGGCAAGCAGACAATAGCTGGGAAACACAAATAAAGCTGACAGCCTGACTTTCACTGCTGATTCTTTCCAGAACAAAAAGCAGCTGCACAAGAGAGCTTAACCCTTTGCTTCAAGGTCAACATGTGTCAAGGAGTTTTCCATGAAATTGACATTTGCCACTATCTGAAAAAAATTAAGTGAAAGCGTCTTTAGTGAAGCAAAAAGACAATCATCTTCTATCTCCATATAGCTTCCCATCAGTGTATGTCACAAACATAGAAAGATCACAAATGTTTACCAAGTTTATGTATGCAATAAGAAGTGTACCTGTGCCCTCTGCCAGCAACATTTCTACCTCCAGATCAGCAAACCTAACAAATTTAACTAGAAGTGTAACATTCACAAGACAACCTCTAAGATGACACAGAATGCAAGGGCCTTAAAGTAACACGCTATCTTCAGCATCCCATCCCCTGTCAGTAAATGAAAGTTCTGACCTTATGTTAAATCCAGTATTTCACTGAGTTTTTACCCTGTAAAAACTGTCCTGGCAGTAGTCATATAGTAGTCATCACATAACCATATCTAAAAGCAACACACACAGAGCACAACAATGAGATTTATCAATCACATTGCAATCTTCAGATTTAAAAGTACAACTGCCTATCCCAGTCAACAGAGCTACAGCTTGCACTGCAGCAATAACCACCACAATTGGTGGTTTCTGTCTGGACTCAGAACTCGCAATGATTTTCCCCAGCGAGTCTCCAGTAAGATGCTTCAGGAACATGCTTCCCACAGCCACTTGGCTCTCTCAACAAAGCCACTAAAAGACAATAATATTAGGTATCACAACCTCCTGCAAATCATATGTGTGATAAGCTTCCAGTTAAGTTTTGTTTGAAGTGAAGCAGTAGCAACCACTGCCCTCACAGAAACTTCCCAGCCTGGGCATCAGATCATTATTTAGATAAAAGTCTTCCACAACAGACCTGGACAAGAGTAAAATAATGCTGGCTGGGAACATTCTCAGGTGATTCTCCCAGGTATGAAACTTGCTTTCTAGCTGGTGGGCCAGCCCAAAGTTTCAAGGCCTTCAGTCTCAGGACAGCAAGGCACCTATTTCAAAAGATGCCTTTATTTTCTAACCTCCTTCCTAAAACAAGCAACCAGGCTGCAACACTGACCATACTGCAGTGTTTCTCCGAGAGCAGAGAGCGAACACACTACCATTTCCCCACTGTGAAGAATGGAGTAGTCCTGAGCTACCGTAAGCTAATCGCTACCCTGCTCACTATCAGCTTTCAATCCTCTTTTGCTGCCAGTCTGAACTGCCGCTTTCAAATGCAGACAGATACTTAATAATTAGAAACTGCACTACTGCCTAGCACAGCCTGCCAAGACAGCTGCATTGTTTTCTGTACTACTCACTTGAGAAAGCACTAAAATAAAGCTTTGGCATTGATGTTCACCAAGAGAAGGACCTCTCATCACTACTAGAGATGGCCATCATTGTGTTTGTAGTACTAGAGTCATACAAAACCATATTTAGTAACCTTGTATGGCACAATCCTTTCAACCATACAATTGAGAGAGATAACCCTCAGTTTGAGGGAGATAACAAAAGCACATTTTGTTGGCTGTAGTTTTCCAGATACCAAAGTTGGATCTTCAAAGGAAGTGAGTTAATTTATCCCTTCTGTAAAGGTCCATCACACAGCAACAGCTGATTTGGTCAGCTGGGGATCAGATGACCCATATCAGACTATGGGAAGGAAGAAGGGAAGGAATTTCTCTGGCCAGGAAAACTCATCTGGAGTTCATGATACAATTTCTGTAACTTTTCAAAAGGCATGCATGTAAGAAGATAGACAAGCTAAGGCAAAGAACTGCAGAGAAACCCTACTGGTTTACAAGCACAGGCTCAAGGAGGATAACTGTGGAACAAGGAACAGGGAGACCTGAGCAGAAAAAGGCCTGTAACGACAGCTTTTCAGAAGAGATAGGAACCACAGTAAGGTTAGCTGAGGCAGCACTAAGGGGAAACTGAGGTGCTGGAACAATTTGTATCTAGGCTTAAAACCCAGTACATTATTCTGAGATAGTACACAGAAGAACAGAGCATCTTGAATCACCTGCAGAGGAAGCAAAGCTGGACAAGCAGTACTTTAGAAAGCAATCCAGATGGTTAGATACCATCCAGAGCAAGGGTTGTATACTTTCTGGCACTGATTATAGATGGAGCCCAGGCTAAGAATTAAAGCCTTTTCAGGACTGTATCCAGTGTTTTAAAGGCTGGTGCAAACAATCTGCTCACCCATAAACTGCAAGGTGAGAACATATGTTTTAATACATTTGCTAATGAAAACAAACATTTTTAGCAAAGAGCAACAGCTCATGTAAATGGATAAAAGGCTGATGCCAGTGTGGAAGGAGTCCTTCAGAAGTCTTCTTCAAAGACATGAAGAAAGATTTTCCTCCTTGAGTAGTCTTTCAAATCTTCAAAACCCTCTTTCAAACTGTGCATTTTAAGAGTTCATCCCATAATTTAAACCACTTAAGCTGATCGATTCACTTTGCCCTTTTTTTTTTCTTTTGAAAGGGCAAACTCCAATCAGAAGCAGGAAAGCTGGCCTAATTTGCCAACTTAGTGGTCAAGTTCTAAATAAAAGTTCCAGCAAGCTTCAACAGACCACATAACTGGAGAACAGATAAGTATTTACAGTTTGTTCTCCCTCAGCCACAAGCTCAGAAACCACAAGACACATTACCACACATGACTTCAAGCACATGATATCAAGTGCTCAAAGCTTCTCTTTCAGGCAAGGACTCTATGGAATATTCTTTCACCTTCCTTCTCTCTTTAGTATTTTAAAACAGAGACTGAAAGCCACTGTGTTAACATGCTGAAATTATTTAAAGAAATCGTAAGTCAGGTACACTGTTATCTAGGGGGATTTACCTCCAAACGCACCTTTTACTCAAGGCCTGAGAACTCCTCCAGAATTCATCAGCTCTTAACCCAGTAAAAAGACTTTCAAGAACAGCTTACAGCAAATTCTCGTTATCAAAGTGTTATTTTTTTTTAATGGCATAAGTAAGTCTGCTTATACAGACATCTAGAGTTGATGGTATTTTCTAACTTCTTTCTACCATTCCCACACTCCCCAAACCAAACACACATGTAGTTTCAACACCTAAATGCATCTCCAGAATTACTTCTCAGAGCACATGCCCCCACAGTCAGTAGTCCGCGGTGACACAACTATCTTGTCATGAAAGCTGAGACCAGACAGCTTAAGTCTCAAGGGCACAAGTGTTTTCCCACTATTTGTTACTATTTAAAGCTTAGTAGCTTTTCTTTCCAGCCTCTCAGGTCACACTCATGCATCAGTAGCTTCCAAATTAAGCTATAAGTGTGTAACCTCTTCAGGCTCCAGAAAAGCTCCACATCCACAGCTCCATCCCCACCTAGCTACTCACTACCACCCTCTCATAAAAGTTAAGGCTTCCATAGATACTATGAATATCTGAAATAAGGAACAGGAAACAGTTTAACAAATCACTTAGTAGTTTGAGATAAATCCATTTTTCATGGAAAACACTTACAGAACAGCCACATGTACTATTAAAGCCAGTAGGAAGCACTAACAATAACTGGATAAAAAAAAATTGCTGCAGTCAACCTGTAACTGGAACAACAGGAATCAGGAGAAATACTTTAACCTGGTCAGATCTACAGCTATTAAAGCCTCAAGTATGCCAACAATAGTTTTTACTCAGCAGATGGATACAGGGAAGTTGTTGTGAACCTCTATTATGGCAATCTTAAAGTATGAACTAACGAACCCACCAAGTGGTATAATTACTGCTCAGAATAACAACCTGTGGAGTCTGCAGGTCATCACTTTAAGAAGTTATGCAGCTTTATCCACAGAACTTGTTTTAAACTAGAATGTCTTATAACCATCTGTTCACAGCTGAAAATCAAGATGTCTGCAAAAAAGCCAAGAGAGTATTTTCTCCTTTAAACATTTAGCAATTTCAAGTTGTTATTTTAGAA